TTTTAGCTTTATTTGTATACTTATTCATCCACACAAATAGTAAATACACAATAATTCATGTAAAGAAATTGATTAGCATATCTGCTGCTGTCGCTTCTGGAAGTAATTTTCTTTGGTATCATAATACAGTCGAGTTGCGATAACTCGAACCTCGATAACCCGAACAATTTGACAACTCGATTTTTATTTTACTCCCTTCAAGGTTAGGTTAATTCGGAGTTAGGTATCTCAAATAATACATGTCTCGAAGCATTTTTTTTATCTCTCTTAGATTTCGATTTATAGCGACTCGATATTTATTGGAACGATTTTAACTTGCTACTTAATAGCAAAAAATGTTTACCTGTTTCATTAAAAAAGCTAAATTAATTTTTCATTGTTTTTAATTAATTAAATCCATAGGTCATAGGAGTGGGCAGGATTTTATTTAAGATAGGTAAGTATTTTGTTGCTAATAATAATTTATTAATTTATTAAGAAAGAGGGATTTGACATAATATTATGGGGTAAATTTTTTTCAGTATTGAATTGAAATTTAAATAGAATTGAAATTTAAGTTTTTAATTTTGAATTGATATTTAAAATGTAAAACAAATTGTGTGAATTGAATTATTACAATTTTACTGCGATTTACATTTAAATATAATTAGACACTCCACGCTTGAGTGCAATCTATTACAAGAATAGCTGGTGACTCGAATCTCTAAACATTTTTTAAGACATCAAAGAAACTTCTAAATATATTTAAATTTTAAACGACATAGAATTATATGTATTAACTTTAAGAAACAATCCGACAAAATCTTTATTGGTATACAATATGTCTCCTTAGGACTTGGACTTGGGAGTATCAGGAAGTCCTTCAACTAGTTTGATTTTATTTCTTAAAGTATCAAGATCAACTTTAAATTTTTTATACCACAAAATACGCTAATCATTGTTTTTGTATACCTTAAATGTTAGTCCATATAGTGAAATATACCAGTTATGTTGACATGTCGTGGCATATGTACAAAATGTAAACACTAAACGTATACATATTATTAGAAATGTATAAAACGAATCCATTTTCACCGATTTCTGTTCTCCCACTAACGCCCATGGCTATGCATATGATTAAAACACAATATTGTTTCTGCACATCTTTATGTAATTATTAGATATATTTAATTAAAACTGATTTGTAGAACACCGAACTATTTATTCGATTTTCCTTTAAAAACGATTCATGTTATGAATGATAATCAAATATTTGTACATAATATATTTTTAGACTTTTTGAATAAATTATATAATATTGGGTGTTTATACCATTTTGTATAGTGAGCTTAATTCTAAACTAAAACAAAACGTAGCCATTTTATGGTACAAACATCAAAATTGGTTTATTTAACGATTTTACGCGTATATTAAAATCATTAAATAATAAATTTAACGTCTTATCTTACGGAAATAGACCGTTGAGGCAATTACAGTTGTTCACTACGCGTAAAACGTGTTGTAACCTCATTTTCCTTGCTATCTTAGGACATTTCCCATCTTTAAAATATAATATAATTTGGATCAATAATCATCGATACATCCTCTAAAATTACCAATGAAGTATTATCTGCGTACATCACGTTTCCACAGTTTTGAACCAATTTTCTGTTCATTGTGATGGATAATTGACACCTCCGTGTGACGTGCAGGAAACAATTGCATTGTGTGCAGCATCAAATATCAGTTAATTATGTATCGTATTCCAGAACAGTGATTATTTGATCATTAATTGTTAACACCAATTTCGAGTGTCTGACTATCGTCACTCTGGGCGAAATTGGATTTGCAGAAATACATTCGTAATAAGCCTCTAGTCTTCTATAATGACTATACTAAATAACTATAATTTGTAATGTCTAGTATGTTATGTTGGTTTAAAATTATTTATGTACCTACAAACATGAACCTAAATATGGAAGAGTATAATTAAACGATGAAAAAATAACATATCAAATATAGATTGTGGTCAAAAAGTATATAAAAACTATCCAGGTACACTATAAATTATAATACAAAATATGCAATAATAATAATAACACATAATATAACATTATGTTCATGATAAAGATACGTACAAATCAGTTGTGGGAAATATCGTATTATTTGTATTCTGTATAGCAATAAGCTAACACGTGGACAGTAGCTAATAACTTTTTTTGTAGCACGTAGTGTTTCGTAGGTATCTAGTGTGGTGATAATATATTATTTTCATTACAAAAATCACAACATTTGCTATTTTTCACAAGAATTTACTAACTATTAATAAAATGCTATTATAATATTTGGCTAGACAAAAAAGTAATTTAATTTTTGAAAATTCGCTCGGGGGATGCTTGGGTGAATTTTAGATCCGCCACTGGGTCACTGCAATGGAAGTATTACATTTAAATTCAATGATATACGAAAAACGAATCTGAGAAAAGACCTAAACGGTCAGCCTATATTATAATAATATTTTTAAATTACAAAAAATAATCTTTTTTTTTTCTGTTTTTAAATATCCAATTGTGTCCAAATTTGTACTCACAATATCTATTAAAAAACTGTGTTTGAATAATTTTTAGATTTTTTGTAACAATAAAAAAAAAAACATTAAAAACGTAATACATTTATCACTCTAAACCTAAAATTACCGACAGTCAAACTAAAAATATAAACGTTTTTCATGTTATTTTGTTTCGGTGAAACAAAATAACAAAATAAAAACGTTCCAATATAGCTATTGGACATAAAATACCTATAGGTTTTATATAAAAAAATATTTAATAATTATACAGAGTGATTCGCCAAGCATACTCAGTTCTAGCCCTCATTTTTCATTTCATAATGAATCTATTCAATTCTACAATAGCGTTTTGGCATTTATTAATATTACATAAAACTGAAACCAATATTGAACTATTCAACAGAGACATTCATTTTTGTTAATCATTACTATTTACAGTACTTAACTACTAATCAGGCTAATTCATTTTCATATAAGCTTATAATCATCCTATATACAAAATATTATAGTTTTAACATTTTTTTTTATTTTATTTATGAACGGGCTAGGAGCCCAACAGTACAGTCATACAATATTTTTTAGTAATACATTTGAACAATATGACATGATAATTATAAGTTATCGAACGACAAACAATATATATCTTATATCATATTTTGTTGCTTTGTATACTGTGCAGAGTCGGACTGGGTACTAAGGGCCCCACCGGCAGTTTACTTATAGAGAGGGCCTCAACAGTCAACAATAGTGATAAATAATAACTCTCTTGTAAATTTGATAAATTTTTTTCACAAAAAATTATCATAAATAAACTTTATAATTTACAATTGTTACTCAAAACACCATATTTATCTTTATTTACTGTTTTCTTTAGTTAAATTTATTTACAATTTATTTTATAGTATATTTTAGAGATCGATTATAATAAATTATCAAAATTTTTGGTAACTACCAGCTATTTTGATAATTGTTAAAAATGTTATTTATTAATTTAAGACAAGGAGGAAAATGTAGAAGGCTTGTATGTACCTATAGAATCAAACACATTGTGTTAATTGTTAAGACACAATATAAACAATTAATATTGAAATAACAATATCATTTTTAATAGAATTTTTATATTTTTATAAATCAAGGAAATATACATATCATTGTGTACCTACTGATTGAAGTATTCCTCAAAGCAATAAGAATAGGTTTTCAGTTCTAAAAATAAATACCTCTAAAATTCCAATATTGATCAATCATATATATTATTATTTTTAATTGGCATCGATGAGACGATAACAGAAACGTTGACTGTTGAGACGTCACAAACATATTTTGTCCGTCTAAACTACACTGTTTTTTTATGTTTGATTATTATTAAACAAATATAATACATTATATAAATGTACAGTTCATATATTTTATACTTATGATTTTTTCCGTTCATTAGATGGGGCCCCATATAGTCATACACACAAGGGGGCCTTACTGGCTATGGCTAGTCGGTTATATTGGCCAGTCCGACCCTGATACTGTGTATGTACCATCTACAACTCTTGAAAGTAATAATACTGCAATTTGTTATACATATTGTTTACCATTTGTTAAAAAGGACTATACAACTAAAAAAAACCAATTTTTTTTTTTATTATTTTAATGTATAGGGCGCTTTGAAAAAGAATAATTTTGGTGGTCTTAAAATTGTTGTCTGACAATTGCAGGTTCCGTGTTTAAATATAAGTCGCGTTTTACGCGTGACGTCATAAAATCACACCGTCCGACGGGTCGTATCTAATATACACGCGCGGAATTTATTTCTCGCGATTAAAATAATTATAGAGACAAATTAATTAAAGGTACAAGTTATTGAAGTACATTTATAAAAAGGTTATACACTTCTTTAAATGGTCATATTATTTTTATTGTGTTGAAATTTGTTTCAGGGTAGTTTATAGGAAAGACAAAAAAATAAAATTTACGTAGGTATATTTAATAATATTATAATCCGTTATTTAATGTATTATTATAATTAATAATATAAGAACTAAAATAAATGTGTAAAAAGACCTCAAAATAAAATATATTACTTCAAACAAAAATACATAATATATTATACGTAATTGAATTATTATAATTATCATTACCTATACGTTATATTATATATTTAAAACCTACTATTACACTTCTATTCAATTTTGTGAAGGTACTCACCTTTATTGAATGGTAATATTTTATTTTGAGGTTTTTTTTACACATTTATTTTAGTTCTTTTATTATTAATTATAAAAACATATTTGTTAATACATTAAATTACGGATTATAATATTATTAAATATACCTACGTATGTATAATAACCTAATTATGTTTGATATTTTATATATTTTTATTTATTACTAAAAAAGTTAAAAGTTCTGCTTTTTCAGAACTAATGTTTTGGTGAAAGAAGTAAGATCTGAACCTTCCATGACCATAAATCTAAATGGTCCTAACTTGCAAGATAAGCATGTCGCTACGTTGGACCCATCTGCGATAGCCGTGAAGACGGTCCAACCCTGCAGATGGCACGGGCGTTCTGATTCGACGGCCTCACTAGATGACAGGAATCTAGTTGAGGCCAAGAAACGTTTGAGCGCCGAAGGTCCACGGCTTACGACGTGGTTTTTTTCGACGCCTTACGTTCATGTGTCGTATTCTCCAGTCGTATGCGAAATCTCGTTGGATGTGGCGACTGTCCCTGAAATGGACATCAGATCAGCGTGTGATGATACGGTACAAACTGAGACCCTGACGATGCCAGTCGCATGCGAAGTCTCTGTGGATGTGCCGACTGTCCCTGAAATGGACATCAGAGCAGCGTGTGATGACACGGTACAAGCTGAGATCCTGACGATGCCAATCGTTAACGCAAGCCAGCCGGACACGGTTCAGGTGGTAATAACCGGAAAAACGGGAAAGCCTAGGTGCCGTTTGTTTTGGTCTGGCATCAAGAAAAATGTTAGGCGTGCATTGTGCTGCGGATGTGTGTAGTACCAATAAGTGGCTCTTACAATTCGTTACAATAACGTCAATAACAAACATGAAACAATATTGTAAGACTAATGAAAAATTCCATGGAAACTTAATTTGTATGTTAGGCATACCTAGTACATTAAATAGATAAAATAATAATAATAATATTTATAATCGAATTTAACAAGTAAACAAAACTGTGCCAAATTATACTGTAGGTAAATTTTAAGGCAAGTGATTTTTTAAAAAGTTTTTAAGGGGAAAATGTATGTGAGCATGCTTATGTCCACACCATCACCGTGTATACCTACATTATGTATTTTTATAATTAATATTATCACGGGGGTTTATTGTTCGATGCAAAATCTGTTTACACTTCATATTACACTCAGAATTTATACCTTAGAATTGAAATCATACACTAAGCATAAACTCATTTTCGCTATAATTTGAAGCTCATATTAGCGACAAGTCTCTATAGTATACCAATAATCTGTAAATACGCAAAAAGAAATTGTCATAAAAATAATGTATTATTTATCTATTTTAATTTATGTAAAATATAAATGTAAACGGCTAACTCATGGGCACATAGCGTTTCACACACATTCTAATTCAGTAACCAGATTATATTTTGTGCGTAAAATTGATGTACATTAAACCCTATCTTAATATTTAGAAATAAAAATATCGAAATAGTCTATTAAAATTAATATAAAACAATCATGAACAAATTTTTAAATAAACACATGTTATGATTTTAAATTGTAATGTAGGTATAATAACTATAAATTATAATAATGAAACGTACATGAAAACTGAAATCGTTGAAATGTATTATTTTTATTTTTTATTAATTTCATTATTTACTCTACTTGATCAATGACGATCATTGATCCACTGATGGAGCCTATACCATCACGAAACCTATGTGTTACAGTCGGAAAGTGTGGTTAAAATTGTTAGGTACTTTTGCCTTTTTTCAGCAGTAATTCAAGTCCAAATGTAAAAAGATAATTTAAGTAAATTTGACAGTCTGGCATGAGGTTATTTGTCGATTTTCGCTTACTGCAGTAAACACTACAGCAGTCTCAAGGAAATACTATAGTCTTAAGGACATATTTACGAAATAGTAAAATTGTTAACGCGATAATACTTATTGGTTAGGTACCTAGTTATTATATTTTAAGTGCAAATTTATGTTTTTAATAATAATTATAGGTATCGATTTTACAGTTCTCTTATGACGATAATATTACGCTAGGGTCCGTTGTGCATTGATGACGTGCTGAAATCGATAGAGGACTCGATTTCCACCGCGGACCCGGTCGGAGGATCATCCCACCACCTGTGGAAACCTACATCGGATAGATTTCAGGCCGGGTCACACATACCCAATACGTGGGTAATAGAATATTATATTATATGTAATAATTGGATGCTGTTTAATGGACGCTGACCAGAACGAGTGCGTTGCACTCTATAGTCCTCGGCCCAAGGCGTACGACAATAGGACGCCAGTGTGATTGTGTATCGCGTATGTACGTTTCGAGTATTACTATAATTGTCAGCATTACGTCCCTATTCGCCAACATTTCCCACCCCAAACAATTTGCGATTAAATTCCTGCAACCCCCCTCATTTCGTGATTTTCAGAGAACGCACTTCGCCTGCAGTGACGGGGTACTCGACGATGACGACTACAAATGGAACACATAATATAATAATATGATAGGTATTATCATTGACTATTATAAACACTAGTATTTGTACTGAGTGTATAATTCAGGTTTAAATGTGCTGTAATTCTGTGGGCCGAATGACAGCTATTCGGGGTGGTTAGAAGCCCACGTCCTATTTTTCCTAATTTCATCCTAATTTCGATATTAAAATATAACGATATAAGCGCTGTTAGGGACATATGGGTCGATTTGAAGTAGTTTATATATTTTTATAATAATGTATTAGGAGGTTACCTTATTAGATAATATTGTCTATAATAATAGACCATTGTAACCAAAGATAATAATGATACATCTAACCTAATATTCGTAATAAAATACTATGTCTTTTATTTAGTAGCCCCATTGGGTGGGACTTACATTTTATATTTATTTATTATAAACACGAATTACATAAAAATTGAAACACAGTTCACAAAAATTACAATACATAAAAAATGCAAGGTACCTGAGTCCTAAACTAAAGTATGTTAAGAAAATTTATGGGAATGATTAATTTGATTGAGTCATGGTCCTGATTGAGCAATTTGGTCATAGATTCCGGAAGTTAAGAATTTCCTTTTTCCTGGACTTGTATACACAGTTCGGTGAAAATAATATAGGTTATGATATTTTATGATATGAATTCCACTGAAGATGATATTATATACATTATGTATAGCCTGGTATTGGTTATATTTTTCATTAATATAAAATAATATAATATGTTATATTACTATGATCGAATAAAATACAATCCTTATTTTTTAATTAGAACATAATTACACTTTTACATTAATTTGTAATTTCATAATATTATTTAAGTAGGTATATATCTATATCTATATTATGTATATAGTAAGTTTAATTTTTCCTTTGTTTTAATAAATATAAGTAAACAAAAAATACATAATAACCAACCTTATTCTACTGTGAATAAACAACTTACTTAGAAATGAAGACTAATATTCCTTTTTTAATTAATAACTATAATTAATTTTTAATTATTTAAAGAAACCATTTTTAATTAACAAGTGATGTTGGATAACAATTTTATTTAATTTAAATAAAGTCACAAGCAATATTATTTATACAAAAAGAAGTTTGAAGCAAAACGGTGTATACAAATATATGTATTCCAATAACAAAAACGAATAACACTAAACCTTACTAAAATAGGAGAATACGAAAGTACACTTACAACATTTAAATTGTTAGAAAATTATGTACACACCTAAAAAAAAAGGATTTTATTTTGATAATTATATTATAGTAATATATTGCGTTTAATAAAAAAGATAAAATCATATACCTATGATATTATGAATGTTTATCATCGTAACGTGAGAATACAATCCTTCATTTATAAAAAAAAATGAAAATTCATAGGATTAAATTCTATTTTTGGTGTTTCTATCTAAATCACCTAGGTATATCTATATTATTTAAGTACTATATTTGTTACATCACTATAAACTACTTAGTCTAATCAACAATAATCATAAGTACCTAGTAATTGAAATATTTTACATATTTTTACTGCAATACATTATATAATAATAATATATTTATAAGTTACTAACTTTAAAAAAAAAAAATTGATTTATTGATCTAATTAGTTATACTTATTCAATGTTACAATGTTTATTAATAAAACTAAAAAAATACCAAAGCTAATTACTTCGTCTAAGTGGATAAGTGATAAGTGATAACAATAATTTTGATTGATGAATTGTAATTTATTATTTTAAATTTATATTTGTATATATATATATATATTTTAAAACCCGTTATTTAGTATACTATTGATCACTACCACTCTTTAGAAGTGTTTATTCTTTCTGAACAATTTTATCTTATAATAGAATCCAGTTTATTCTTTGCTGACCCATTTAATAAAAATTAAAGTAGTTGAAAAAAATAAAGATTTATAATTTAAAACGTATTACATAATAATCTCTATTGTCAGTGTTCATAAAGAAGAGCTGTCTGCCCAAATTATATGGACCCCTTTAAACTCATTTTTATTATGCGTTGTCAGATTGAATATCTACGATCTTAAAATCCATAAAACACCGACAAATTTACATTTTAATCAAATTATTAATTTTGAATACAATTATGATATTATGATACCTATAACTCACATTTTATTATAATATGACTTGCATCTTATCATTATTATTATCACACTTATCTATAAAACCGTATACCTTAGATATATATAACATTTAATTAAATTTTTTTTTACTTGAAAAAAAAAACCGAATAGCGTAGGTAGGTAGGTACCTATATATTTTAATTTGAATGAATGCATAAGTGAGTGAATATAATATAAGTATACAGTATGTATTATATAGGTACATATAAATGTTAAATTGTCTTCATTAATAATATTACAATATGATTTTGATGTTGTTTGAGCGATTTACTATCAACCGCATTGTTGCAAACGTGTAACACTAAATTGTCGATTTAAATATCAGTAAAAAATATAAATGTGAATCGGGCGTGAGAACATCTTACTAAAATGGACGTATAATTACTGTGTAAAAAAATAATAATAACAACAATAGCAAGACGACTGTAAGACAATAGAATAAAAGGCAATTGTTTCGGGTTACCAACACGTATTTCTGCAGACAAAAATAACGTGAAAATATAAAAAAAAAATCGAATCATTTATAAAGTAACGGTAAGCTAATTAAAAATCGATCCTATGTGTATTAAACTATATAAGCAATATAATACAACGTTAAGCATTGGTATCCACCTACATAGCGAATACCATAGCGGTATCACGCTCATGTCAAGTAGCTACCTACCTACATAAGTGTATGGCTACTATATCTATAAAATATCTACCATAAAAATATTATATGTCAACTATAATAATATATGTATTATTATTGCACTTATTAAGTATTATCTTATATATTTGCATAATGTGTATGTTTCAGAAGGATGATGACTGATGCATATTTCTATCCGATGCTATTGTTTGGTACGATAATAACATAATATAATGTAATATTTATTTTATAATGGCAATCTAAAGACGTATGTGATCGTGACTAATGTAACTTCATATTATATTATCTGAAACCTATATTGGAAAATCGTAAATTATTGTAAAAACGGTTTAAAACAACATACCTGATGGTATTCTCTCAATATTTCCCACCTCGGCATTTTCTTATTTGTTTTTCAACCATATGGAAACAGTGGTTCGGATTTCGGAACTAAAATAAATTACAGATGATAAACGGTAGTGTTACAGTTTTCTGCAGTTAATAT